GATCAGCTCCAGGCATGACGAAGCAAGTTGTGTCCTCTTTTGGAAGACCAAACAAAGTAGTTTCGCTTTCACAATGAAACGCAGCGTCACACACAGCGGCCTTGAGTGAGCGGCGGCCGGAGGCCTAGAGTGAGCAGAGGCCGGGCTAGAGTGAGCGGCGGCGGGCTTGTGGCAACCACATGTGACGACCCCGGGCTGGCAAATCTTCCCACATAGTGACGTAGACATGTGGGGGCGTGTTAGAACGAGCCATTTTAGGTAGGCGTGCTTGACTCTTAACTTTTATAAAGAATATCTCTTTGGATTTGAGACTTTAGTCTTTGCAATTTTACAGATCTTCTTTATGCACCAAGAGCTTGTAACACTCCAAAGAGAAAGGAAAAATTGAAATCGCATCATACACTCTAAAAAATGCTGGGTTATTTCAACCCAGCTTTGGGTGAAATATGGACTAACCCAGCTGTTGGGTTAAATTTTTCAATTAAATTTTTAACCCAAAAGTTGGGTTAGTCCATATTTGACCCAACGTTGGGTTGAAATAAGCCAGCATTTTTTAGTGTGTGACCCCTTTAAGTGTGCCATTTGGGTCAATGTCAAATAGTCAATGGAGACAAGAAATGGCCAGTTTAAGCAGGATGTGTCCCTTGTCTAAAAATAATCTGAGCCTCAGGAATTACACCTTGACCTTGTCAAAGATCTCAATCTTCACAATTAATTACAAGGGGAAACAGTGAAAATGAATGGTCTCATTCATGAATATAAGCGCATATTCTGTCAGATCAATGAGTAACCAGTTCAGCACTGACGTCCAACATGTCCACTGAGTCAGTGCCTGGAGAAAGAGCATAACTGTACCATACATGCACATTGCACGATGAGTGTATTATGTGCCAATGTCGAAACTGGTGAAAGTTTAAAAATGCTCCACATTAGCAATAATTCCTCTATCAAATAAATCAGCTCCTCCCAAGGCTGGACTGGGGCTAAAATTTGGCCTTGGACAAATCCAGCCCATCCAGTCCATGAGTTCACCCGTGAATGTTTTTGCTGGGGTTACAGCCTTAAAATGGAGTAAATACATTTAAATAAATAAAAATAAAGTAACACGCAGAAGTTATAACCTCTATGAAAGTGATTTATATTTCCCAATATTTAATAGGCTATAAGTAATAACAGCAACATTTTATGTATAACATGTGACGTTTCGTCACACATTTGGAGTATTTGCCTTTTGCAGAAATTTATTTATGTATTTATTTAAGTACTGAATAAAATAAATCAGGAATTAGTAGGCTAGCTCTTCATTTAGAACACAGCCAAACAGTTTCCCGCGTAAATTATGACATCTTGGCGGCGTATGGCGTGATCCAAATTGCAATGGCTGAAAACCGCAGTTTTGACTGAACAGATTTACTCTAAATGAAAAACTATAACCTGAAATACCTGAATATTCATATTAGAACTGAAGTGACTCCGAATATTTCGACAACAACACACGGGTGCTTTAAAATCAGCGCCATCAATTAGCAACATGTGGGCTAACTTGTAGCAATCAGTCATCCTTAGACATTTCTCGCAAATGTTTTCTCTCTTCTGAGAGAGGGCGCGAGGACTGGAGACACGGACACACGGACACACATCCGCGCTCCCGCTGCGTTTAAAAGTGAGACGTCTCTGAACAGCAGCATCACAGACTGCTCTATGAGCCTGCAGACATGGGCAACTGCATGGGCATCAGGGACGTCTGCGACCGGCCGAAGAATACTAACGTCAGGTGCAGGTTACCTGCCGTGTGCTTCGTCTGGCAGCTGTCTATGATCATTCTTTTTGGGGTATTTGTGCGGTATAATGAGGAGTCAGATACTCACTGGGTTGACTACAGAAAGGGGAACAATATAACGAGTGATATCGAGAATGACTTCTACTTCAGATATCCAAGTAGGTGCACAATTCTGTTTTCTTATTTTAATTAGTGTCTATTAAATGCTGTATTCATGTACATATTTTATTATTATTATTATTATTACAGATTTTATAATTAGTAGTTTTATTATTGGAAACATTTTCTCTCTCTATATTAATTAATTAATTAATATTTTTAGTAAAGTATAGAGTATTAATATTCACATAATTTACATCAGTAATTATTTACATTAATTAAAACATATTTTTATTATTTTAAGTATTAAATGTTTTATATTGTATATAAAATATGCAAAAAAAACTTTATGAAATGTAAAATATTATTAAAAAGAAAAAAAATGTGTTTGTGTGTATGTAATTATTTTTATATAATTATATCAATTATTATCGTTACATATTATGTGTCTGTCTGTCTATCTTATTGTCTAAAGATTTTAGAATAATAAAATATACAGTTTATTCGTTTATATAAAATGTTATGCAATTATTTACAATAACTTACAATTATGTGTGTGTGTGTGTGTGTGTGTGTGTGTGTGTGTGTTTTTTTTTTTTCCCTTTTTTCCCCTTTTTAAAAAAATTTAATAATACTCTAAATAAGAAACTAAAACTGCCAGCAGGTGGTGGTAAATGTCGTTGAGTCTTTCATTCATTCGATTCGTTCAAACGGATGTAGCTCCGCTCCACCAGCCTCTGACATGCGCGCACCTTCCCAAACGGACGAGGCTTTTATGGCCCTGTCACAAATGGAACACTTCATGTGCACTTGCGGTTTGGACTCACAATGGCTGCCGCGTGTGCATGTCCGTTAAGTCCACGAGACCATAGGGCAGGGTTCCTCAAATCTTGCCCTGGAGGGCCAGTGCGCTGCAGAGTTTAGCTCCAACCCTGATCAAACTCACCTACCTGTGATTTTCTAATGATCCTGAAGACATTGATTAGCAAACTCAGGTGTGTTTGATTAGGGTTAGAGCTAAACTCTGCAGGAAAG